CTTATCTTTTTACCACAATTACTCGCTCCATGGTCATCATGTAGAACCATCTACACAGCCTATAATCTAGTTGGATGTGTTGAAAGGCCTCGATTCGTCCTTGATTCCACCGTTCCTTTGGCGGCCAACGCCAGCCTTCGACTTCTCATATCAAATGGAGGCATTCCTAACCGATCTATCTTATATGCATCTTGATCTATTTCTCTGCGTCCCGTCTGGGTTCTCGCGCAGTTATCCAACTGTTAATACACCTTAGGGTAATTGCCGAAGAATTCTCGAGAGTATCCGAATTGCAAAAGATCGTGGTGCCTCACTTCGTGTTGGCCCTGAGCTTGAGATTTGGTACGTTTTCACTTTCCTAAATTCTAACCTCGGTTTTTGGTGGCGTTTCTACCCCTCTGCCGTTATGGGCGGGCTGTGCACTACACACTATGGCTCTATATTCTTTATTTGTGGAGACCGAACTGGCAACCTGATGCAAGAAGCATACCCCCATAAATTTGGTTCATTTTATCTCTCCTTCTTACGTTTTCCCCGCACGGCTGGTAATCCCGAATGCTAACTCTCGTGACACAGCGGGTACGGTTGCCTAGACCATTTCCTGGAAGGTAAGTGCCTTATTTACGTATTAACTACCACGTTTCCATCCTTTCCTTCCCTCTTCAACCACGTTACCTTGGATCTCGATCCCCTTATTTACACAAATAGTGTCCTTTCCATAGGAATTAGCTCAGAAGCTAATTCTTGTTGCTAGGCGATACAGTACTACATTCATGGGAAATCCTCGCTCAAATCCTAGTCTCAAAAGAGGCAGTTGACATTGTTTGTGACATAGGAATGTAAGTGTCGGTTCATTTGTGCGCCTTCCTAAATTGGCGATTAGTCGGCTCATTCCCGTGGCTAACTGACTATGACCCATTGGCTCGTTCCCCACATTGTTAAAATCGTCAACATCATGACCCCGGACACCTGGATGTCTGTTCTTACTCGGAACGTGTGGGATTTCACGTTCACTAGGCCAGTCATTCACAAAAATGTCATATACAATTGTCGGATC